AGTGAAAGTTCGATTATATCTCACAGATGTTATGGACCGCGTCTTCGCATTAACCCTTGGGTAGAGGAGAAAACTAGCCGCTCCTCATTGTATCAATCTCTCGTGACTTGATTGATTCCATCCACACAATTGCCAAAGAATTGGGAAAGATGAATTAACGAAGGAATGGACGAAAGGTCTTGCTTCCTTTTTTGGGTTGCGTGTTTCGTACTAGAGTGGAAAGTAAAAGCAAAGTCTAAAGACAAAGTCGTACGACACAAAAAGCAAAAGTAAAAAACCAAATCGTCTCCCTAAGGGTAGCAAAACGAAAGCTACCCTCAACTTGTACAGAACCGGAGCAAAAGTAAACAAAGTACATCTGACAGCCAAGGAAAAGAAACTAAAAGCTAATCTAATCTATCACACGTGATTCTGGCTTTTTAGCCAATACCATCAAAATATAGCTGCCGAAAAGAAAGCATCCTCCTCCTACTTCCTTTAGGGAAAGAGTTTTAATCCTGTGCACCTTCGCGGCCCACGAGCTCTCTTTGGTTTCCTTATTTTTCACTTTTTCTACCACTCCTGTGGGGTCCATCCTCCAAGTGTATCTCTTCAATTTCTGGTATGGGCACGCCATGAAATAAAGGATTTTCTGGAAATTTGCCTCTAGAGATCACTTTTAACACCAACTACCTACAATTTACACAAATATGAAATATGAGCAAAATCTCAATTCTTAGTACCGTGAGTAGCCAAAATTAGGATAGAATAACAGTGCAAAATGTGTCCAATAATTGCTCTATTAATTCCCCTAAACAATGCTTGTTCTCAAGTATTTCGAAGCTCAGAAGTACAATCAAGATAGCAACGGTTCCGTAGTGGTCTATACTAACACAAGCATCCCGCATTTCCAACAATATTGCCAAAATTAGAACATACCGGACAGGTGGTTATCCAAAGAATATGAACAGTAATACACGTCACCTTCAAGAAAAAGTATAAATACTAGGAACGCTCAATTCAACATTACGGAATGGAATTACCATAGACTTGCACATTTATCACATCTCCATCACTCAAAAGTGAACTAAATACACAAATTAAAGGGACTTTAATAAAGTTGTAATGGGGCTTAGGTTATTGCCAAAATTAGAACATACCGGATAGGTGGTTATCCAAAGAATATGAACAGTAATACACGTCACCTTCAAGAAAAAGTATAAATACTAGGAACGCTCAAGTCAACATTACGGAATGGAATTACCATAGACTTGCACATTTATCACATCTCCATCACTCAAAAGTGAACTAAATACACAAATCAAAGGGACTTTAATAAAGTTGTAATGGGGCTTAGGTAAAAGGTGGGATAAGAAGGTAAAGATAGGGTGTAATGTGTCAAGAGAATGTCCGATGTCCACTTGCATAACCTCAACACTTTACTGGAGAAATTTCACAAGCAAGGTATTTCCATTTAGTATACCCACTGTGCACGTGTTGAAACTCATTTTTTTTAAGGGCGTCTTGCAAGGCGTGGGCATGCCTTGTAAGCCAGAGTCTTCTGTTTACCAGCTTGTTTTTTTTTTGATCTCAGATGCACGGAACTAGCACCATACGACTTCTATTCTGACAACACTTGAGACCCTAGATTTATTTGCCTTGCACAAAAAATGAAATTCAGACATCTCTTAAAGACACAAGATTGAACAAAAAAGTCTAAAAAGGTCCTGGGTTATCAAACACAACTAACAAACAAAGGAGAAGGATAAAAGCTCAAATTGGTTCACTATTGGGAGACAAGATGAAGGCATGGTTTGTAGAAAGTTAAAGAAGGTTAAATCCTAAATGCCCTTATTATTTCAAATGCATCCAATTCAACAAAATGTGGCATTGACATGTATAAAATAGCAAATTCTAGAATGTCAATACCGTGTGTGATACCCATTCAACAACACAAATGAAACAAACAAGAATAATGTGCTCGCGCATGGCTCAAAAGCTCTTAAAAGTTTCAAGAATGGGTCAAATCCAATATATTCAACATTCAACGATATTGCCAAGGAAAAGCAAAATGCACAGCTAGCATATATGACCACATACACGTGCACCCTAATTGTGCAATCCATCATAGCAACATGCTCTAGCAGTTAACAACTGTAGAACTAAAAAAGTCAACTAACTACATTTTTTTTTTGGTTTTCTGTTTGTTTCATTTTTCCCTTTTTTTGTTTTTTTTTCAAGCAAAAAGAAATAATAGAAATCATCCCCCCTTCACACCTAAAACCTACATTGTCCCCAATGTAGCAAAGACAAATAAAGTGTAAGGATAAAGGGGGGCGAAACTTCCCTGACTACCGAGAGGGTTTAGCGAGACACTAAGGGGGAGGAGGATGAGGCGGCTGGAATCCAATATCAGAAAAGAAAGCTGCTTGATTCTCCGTCTGAATACAGGCAAAAAACTGCAGCGCTGCAAGACGGCAGAGGATGCGAAGTGAAATTGCGACTCAGAGTAGCAGATGGCTAGCGGGCAACTTCAGCGATGGCGAACGGCAACAGCTACGGTGATGGGGGATTGCAAAGGCAACGAATTAGTGGTGGCGACGGCGTGTGGATCAGCAGCAGCGGCAGCGGACGACCAAGAAAAGGGAAAAAGTAGAAATTGAAAGTAAGACAAAACAACAAAAAGTGAAAAGTAGAAACTAAGATAAAGAAAATTGAAAAGACCGACAAAACAAGAAAAAAGGAAAGTAGAAAAGTGGGGTTAGAAAAGATCCTGGTCGCGTTCGACTTTCGTTGTCGCAAAGGTTGAAAGGCGTGGGCATGCCTTGGAAGGTGAGGTCTTCTGCCTATAATATGCCTGACACAATCTGTTGTGTGGTGTGGGCATGCCTTAGAGGTGGAAGTCCTCTGTCCACCAAATTTTACAAACGCCCATGTGCAATGAATACAAGGCGCGGGCACGCCTTGTAACATAAAGTCTTCTGCCCACGAATTTTTATTTTTTTTTGCTTCCAACCCAGAATAAAACTGCACAGAAACACCCATGACGTACAATACAGGTTGTTTGTCAATAGAAACTTAAACCCACTAGTATTAAACACACGAATATGAAATAAAACACAATTAAAATTCTTGGATTGCCTTTCAAGTAGCGCCTTTCTTTAACGTCTTTGGCTAGACGTTAAACACCACTCTTTAATTTGGATATAATTCAATTTTTCTTGTAATCTATGGCCCTCCTCCGGGATCCAAATAAGCATTGAGTGCAATATTTTTTCTTAATTTTCTACCCATTTTCACCTCATGAATTGCTTTCATTCCATGATATTTGTTCGCAGCAACTTTGAATTTACTCCTACAAGCAAAATCAGAAAATTCTTGCACAGAGGGATTAGTAACATGAATAGTAAACACATAATGAGAGTTAACAGGATATTTCATTGTATCAAAAATATTAAAGTGGACTATTTCTCCATCAAATTCCATCGTGAGAGTACCCTTACTAACATCAATCTTAGTTTGGGCAGTACTCAAGAATGGCCTTCCTAATATAATAGGTGATGGATTTGGGGCACTTCTATCATCCATGTAAAGCACATAAAAATCAGCAGAAAAAAATTAATCCATCTACTTGCACTAAGACATCCTCAACTATCCCATTCGGATAAGCAAATGTACGATCAGCCAATTGAATTATTACCCCTGTTTCTTTTATAGGTCCTAAATTTAGGGAATCATAAATTGATTTAGGCATCACATTAATAGAAGCCCCTAAATCTAGCATGGTATTTTCGATATTAGAACGTCCAATCTTACAGGGAATAGTAAACATACCTGGATCTCCGCATTTATGTGGTAGTTTCTTTTGTAAAATCGCTAAAATGTTCTCACGTACCACAATTTGTTCATCCCTCCCCAACTTCTTCTTGTTGACACACAAGTTTTTTAAGAATTGAGCGTATTTTGGCACTTGCTTGATCGCGTCCAACAAAGGGATATTGATTGCCACCTTTCGAAACACCTCTAGAATCTCTTTTTCTTTATTTTGCTTCTTTGTCTTTTCCAACCTACAAGGAAAAGAAGGTAAACTAAATTTAATAGGAGTTGAAAGAGTAAATTTTACCTTAGGGTCTTCGCGAATGCGCCCTTCTTCTTCAATTTCCTTTTCGATCTCTTCTTCACTTTAACTCTTCAGGTTCGTGGCCTTAGGCCCCACCACTTCCTTATCACTCCTCAGTGTTATGGCACTCATATTCTTGGGATTTGCCTTGGGTTACGATGGCAATTTTTCAAAAACTTGGGACTCCAAGCGATTATTTGTAGTTGCCATGTGACTTATTTGAGTCTCCAGAATTTTCATGCCCGATCTAGTCTCTTGCTGAAACTGAGCAGTACTCGTGACCAAGGATCTGGTTTCTTGCTGGAGTTGAGTGGTACTCGTGGCCAAACTCTCGACAATATCTTCCAAAGAGCCTCCTGAATTGGAGGACAAAAGTTGAGGCTTTGGTTGCCATGGTTGCTGAAATCCTGGTGAGTGATTTACGAATAAACTTTGTGGCTGGTTCCCATAGCTAAAGTTGGGATAGTCTCTCCAACCCGGATTGTACATGTTCGAGTATGAATTGTACTGCCTACGAGGCGTGGGCACGCCTCCAATCATATTTACTTGTTCAGCCCCATCCTCTTGCAAAATAGGGCATGAGTCAGTGGGGTAGCCCACGTTCGTGCAAATTCCACAGACTTTTGCTTGATGCACGTTCCCCACAGCTAATTGCCGAACAAAAGATGTTAACTCCGATAGCTGTTGTTGAATGGATGTCGACTCCACCTCATTTACCCTACGGGTAGGGTTACACTCGCGGAAGCCAAACTATTGAGAATTTTCTGCCATAGCTTCAATAAGCAGCCATGCTTCCCTCATTGTCTTATTCGCCAGTGCTCCTCCACTCGCAGCATCAATGATACTCCTGTCGGACGGCTGGAGTCCTTCATAAAAATATTGGATCAATAGTCGTTCACTAATTTGATGCTGTGGGCATCTAGTGCACAATTTATTGAACCTTTCCCAATAGTTATATAGGGATTCTCTAGAATACTGCTTAATGTTGCAAATCTCTTTTGTCAGACTCGCAGTCCGGGATACAGGGAAGAATTTTTCTAAAAATTTCTTTTTCAACTGGGCCCATGTTGTGATACTACTTGCAGGTAGGTAGTATAACCAATCCTTTGCTACATCCTTGAGGGAGAAAGGAAATGCTCTAAGTTTGATCTGTTCTTCAGTAATTTCTGGAGGTTTCATACTAGAACATATCACATCGAACTCCTGAATGTGTTTATGGGATTCTTCACCCAAGAGGCCATGGAATGTGGGTAAGAGGTGAATTAATCTTGACTTTAGTTCGAAGGAAGTATTCTCAGCTAGAGTTGGAAATGTAATGCACAACGGCTGCTAGGGTAATTCCGGAGCAGCCAACTCCTTTAGTGTTCTTGCATTTGTCATAGAGATGTCCTCTTGACCTGGGTCACTTGAATTAGCACCACTTGAATCTGTTGATTCAATCTCTAGATCCAGTTCCTGAGATGCAATGCTAGATTGCTCCTCTCTGAGCTGTGAAGTTTCTTTCTTAGTTCAGCGCGCAGTCTTCTCTATTTTCGGGTCAAAAATAAATTCATCTGTACTAGAAGAACGGGGCATAAACTAGAAAAATGTCAAAAAAATCCAAAGAAAATAACTTAGAAAGAAACAAAATTAACCAAAACATCGTTCGTCGGCAACGGCGCCAAAAATTGACAGGTGTCGAGCCTATACAATAATAATTACTAAAAAGTCCTAATTACCACCACAATTAATTATAGAACAAATCTCAGTACTAGAGCAGGGACCCTAGGTGTATAATAGGTTACTTGATTCACCCTATTCCCGAAGAATTTGTTTGATTCGATATACCAGAATTGTCTATAAAAGTATTAAATTTGCATACAATGGCAAGTAGGGTCGATTCCACAGGGAATGAGTAGGAAGTTGTCTCTTCCCAAGTCGATAGAACAAAATTGGGGAATATTCAATGGAATGAAAATGAAAATAAAATAAACAAAATTCAAAAGCTAACTCACCAAATACAATTTACTAAAAATAGCAATTAGTAAAATTCTACCTAAAGGATCAATTTTTCATGCACGGTCCAATTAAATGATTATCGATGCAAAGATATTTCATTCATTCGTAACTAAGTTGGTTATAGCTATCAACAAACTCTGACAGCCAGTTTTTTCTTACTTTTTCGACAGCCAAGGTACGACCGTTGATTGCTTCTCTAACCAGAAAACAACCCTAGGTACGACCGTAGGAATTTAATTATCTTAAAACTAGAAAAATCCAACTCTAACCAATAAACACGCTAAGAGTATTTATTTAAACTAGATCTTACGTTTCCCCAACATAAAGTCAATTATGGTGGTTGTCACTATTTATCAACTAAACGAACAATTACGGATTCAATTTAGTTAACGTGACAGTAGGCTATTAGATTAAATTAAATATCCGGCCGTTAATATTCAATTAATAAAATAACCATAAATAGTTAATCCAGGAAACGCACGAATAGTAACGGATTGGAAAAAATAATGAAAGTTCGATTAGATCTCACAGATGTTATGGACCGCACCTTCGTGTTAACCCTTGGGTAGATGAGAAAACCAGCCGCTCCTCTTCGTATCAATCTCTCGTGACTTGATTGATTCCATCCACACAATTGCCAAAGAATTGGGAAAGATGAATTAATGAAGGAACAGACGAAAGGTCTTGCTTCCTTTTTTTGGGTTGCGTATTCATACTGGAGCGGAAAGTAAAAGCAAAGTCTAAAGACAAAGTCGTACGACACAAAAAGCAAAAGCAAAAAACCAAATCGTCTCCCACGGGGTAGCAAAATGAAAGCTACCCTCAAATTGTACAGAACCAGAGAAAAAGTAAACAAAGTACGTCTGACAGCCAGGGAAAAGAAACTAAAAGCTAATCTAATCTGTCACACGTGATTTTGGCTTTTTAGCCAATTCCCTCAAAATATAGCCGCCGAAAAGAAAGCATCCTCTTCCTACTTCCTCTAGGGAAAGAGTTTTAATCCTGTGCACCTTCGCGGCCCACAAGCCCTCTTTGGTTTCCTAATTTTTCACTTTTTCTACCAATCCCGTGGGATCCGTCCTCCAGGTGTATCTCTTTAATTTCTGGCATGGACACGCCATGAAATAAAGGGTCTTCTGGAAATTTGCCTTCAGAGATCACTTTTAACACCAACCACCTACAATTTATCCAAATATGAAATATGAGCAAAATTTCAATTCTTAGCACCGTGTGTAGCCAAAATTAGAACAGAATAACAGTGCAAAATGTGCTAAATAATTGCTCTATCAGGCATTATGCAAAACAACATCGCTTTGGCCTCTATTGAATTATACCCAATTTGAGCATTTATTACAACTAATTCATGTCCTGACAGAGGCAAGGGTTCAAATCTTGCCTCCCACCAATTACCACATTGTAATGTGGATTTGCTTCAAAAAAAATCCAGGCGGGTGCATAGTATATCCGTTTGGTCCGGTGGTGGTTCAGTCCCCTCCGGATCTCCCTGGACCTCCTTAGGTCCATCCCCTCCCCCTAATATAGGATAGATTAGGATATACTACAGTTATCATCTCCGAAAAAAAAAGATGTTTATTTAACTGTTTCTAACCTTAATCTCATTATCTCAACCGTGTTTTATGTAATCTAAGTTCTCAACTACTGAATATAATCTTAATTATTAGTGGGCTTAATCTCAAGCTACATTCCTATAATATGGGTTGAGTACCAAATTGTCTCCTATTATCCAAAAATGTATCCCTGTCATCAATTGGTCAAACATGTAGGTTAAATTTTTGCGTATGTGAGGTATGAAAGGACAATCATGCACTCGTATACATAATGCTTTGATAGTTTTTTCCTTTCTTGAAAACTTATGTTATTATATTTGGTCTATACAGAATTTTGTGGTATCTAGGAAATCATGATACAACAGCAAATGTAATAATTATATAAATTATATAAACCAGTTTTACAAGATCAATTTTTAGTTACTAATGATAATTTATGCTATTAAATATTTTTCACAACAAAATACCAATATATATTTGAACATCAAAAAATATTTATTAATAAGGGAAAGGAAAGAAAAATGAAAGTGAAATGCTTCTTATGAATATGTATTTTCCTGTTATTTTGACAAAAAAATTACATATGAAAATAATATATAGCATTGGTGTTATTCAACAATCCCTTTTTTAGACACTCGATCAGAAGCTTGATGGCTCTTGTCAAGACTAAAACCAAATTAAAATGTCAAAAAATATATATACATTTTTCTTTATAAATGTCAAAAAAATAAATGTCAAAAAAAATATTTGTACATTTTTCTTTGTTTGTCCTTCTTAAAATTTTTTTTTAAGGTTCAAATATCTACTAATATTTTCTTATGGAAAAATTTTAACTAAAACATTTATTTAATAAAAATAATAATTTCAATTATTACATTTATATTTATGTCATCATTTTTAGACACTACAATTTTCTTCAACAGAAACTTACCATAATACCATTTCTAAAAAAATAAACCTATCAAAATATTATGTAACTAAGGACATGAATGTCATTTTGAATCTTTTATACACATAAAAGCCGACCCATGTATTTGGGTAATTTGTGAGTGGACAATGTTTTAGTAACGATAGTTATAGTAATGAAACAGTTTTTACCTAATAAAATAGGTTGTTACACTTTTAACGACCATTTGATTACTTGCTGGACCTATCCACCTAGATAGGATAACACCTAAAAATATGCAAAAAAATTTCCCATCTAAAATAGTAAGTTAACCTTAATAGATTAGTAATTTTTATACCTCAAAAGGTAAATTGGAATAAAATTAAACTTACTTTTTAAATAAATAAATTATTACTTTATATCCCAAACTTATTTTTTAGAGAGTAAGTTTACTTTAAGTAACAATAAGTTTTTATACATAAATAGTAATGTTTACTAATAACATGGTAAATTTGATTAATGATCAAAACTTATTGATTTTTGAAATACATGTACAATTTTAAATTAAAAACTTATCTCAAACTAGTATTAGGAAGTTTATTTGAAATAATGATAAGATGTTTTATTAATGACTAAAACTTAATACCTTAGTTAGTAAAGTACTCGTAATATACCTATATAATAAATGATTATAGGTATAATTTAAAATTTTTTTGTATTTATATATTTTAAAATACCATGAAAAGTAGTTGCACTTTTCAGATAACCTTGTAAAATATGTAATAAAATTTTGTCATATTATAAGTTTTTAATCATTTTCAATTTTTGAAAAGTTTGAAAGTTTGGATCACAATAACAACAAATATTCCTAGTTATATATAGAATATCACTTGTTTATATATCACAATTTTTATAATTTAACGCCTATGAATATAATAAGATGATAAAGTTTTAATGAATTTATATCTGAGACGCAAGAATTAATAAGAGTTAAAGCCCAAACAAAATGAGAAATAGTATAACAATAAAAATGAAAAAATTAGTATAACAGTTAATATAAGAAAATCAGTATGATCTGGACTTTTTTCCTTGGGAGGTTGTTTATAAAAATAAGATCCAACAATTAAATGAAAATCACTTGTACATATAATATATTGTATAATTTAAATTAAATTCAGTTCATGTATAAAACGGTCCAAAAATAATTAGTGCACTATGATACAATGTTATTTTAACAACAAAATTTTTTTTTACTGAAAGTCTCAAATATCCGTAACATACATATGAGGGATATTTTACCATATTTGTGTCTAACTGTAATCGTAAATTCATTGTCGAAAATAAAAGACATGAAAACTTGCACAAATATCGAATTTATTAAATCAAATAATAAGAGAGTTACAATCTCTAAAAATTCTTTTTTCTTTTGATAATTACAATCTCTAAAAATTCTTGAATCAAAGAAATTAATCCCCTAATTCTTCTCTTCAAAAGCACTCCTAATTAAAGCATAATAAAAATCAATTGCCTACCTGATTGCAATTGATTGCTTGGGAGGTTGTTCATAATAATGAGATCCAACAATTAAATGAAAATCACATGCATATATAATCTATTGTATAATTTAAATTAAATTCAGTTCACGTATAAAATAGTTCTAAAATAATTGGCCCACTATGATACAATGTTATTTTAACAACAAAATTTTTTTACTAAAAGTCTCAAATATCCATGACATACATATGAGGGATATTTTATCATATTTGTATCACACATATAATCATTAAAGTTAATTTGAGGAAGAATATTTTTTATAATAGAATTATTTTGAATTTAGTTAACAAGTTGAGATTTTTAAACAATAAAAGTGAAATATTTTGGGAAATTAGTTGTTTATTTCCCCATAATTTAAAATTGCTATATTTTAGCAATTGTTGCCATTGACTTTTCATTTTCTAGACCAATTTTTATCAATGCAAAATGAGTTTTATTAACAATAATTGAAGTTCCATTGATCTAAGGATTGGTATTCTATTGCAATTATTTTATATGTAAACATTTAATCTAAGGAACAAAATAAATAATAGCTACTTAAAAAAAAAGGAAATAGGTGCTCAATTGATTGTGGTGTAAAATATTAGTATACAATTAACTAAAGCTTGAAATGGAATGAAATCTATTTAGTATTTTAGTGCAAACGACTTTGACACCATTTAATGGTTAAAGAAAAAATAAAAAGGACATGGACCATTTGCCTAAAGGGACGTGGAGATTTAGTCATTTGTGAATTAACAATTTTAGCAGTTTATATAACATTCACCTATAAAAAATTATGATTATTATAAAATTACATTTTATAATAATATACGTACCATTTGCCAATAAAAAAGGAGTTTGATAGAAAAAATATGCATACAAATCCATAATGTAAATGATACAAAGTATATTTGAAAGTCACGGAACTTAACATATGGGTAAATTTACTATATTTTTCAAAGATTATGCTACGTTAATGCAACTGTTATTTTTATACTTGTGACCTAGAAAATTAATTTATTAAAACTTTACAATTTTATTAAATTCATAGGTATTAGTATATGAAAATTGTGATGTATAAGTAAGTACTATTTTATATACAACTCGAAAGATTTGTTGTTATTGTAATACAACTTTAACTTTTATACTTGTGACCCAGAAAATAAATTTATTAACTTTACCATTTTATTATATTCATAGGTATTAATATATGGAAATTGTGATGTATAGATGAGTGCAATTTTATATATAAGTCGAAAGATTTGTTTTTATTATCATCCAAACTTTCTAACCTTTCACACATTCAAAAATAATTCAAAATTTATAATATGACAAATTATTCTTACATATTTATAAGGTCATGTGCAAAAAAAAAAAAGTTTTCATAGTATATTTAAAATGCTTAAAACATATAACATTTATAAATGATATATACAATTGTGTATCATACATTTACATTATTAGTAATTACTAACTATAATACTGAGTTTCAATCATTAATAAAAAATCTTAGCATTATTTCAAATAAACTTCCCGATACTTGTTTCATATAAATTTTTTTAAGTAAAATAGTAAATTTATACCACAAACTAGTAAGTTTTGACCATTAACCAAATTTACTATTCTATCAACAAAATTTACTATTAATCTATAAAAACTTACTATTTTTTGAACTAAACTTACTCTCTAAAAAGTAAGTTTCGGATATAGAGTAGTAATTTATTTAAAAAAAAGTAAGTTCTATATTTATTCCAATTTACTTTTTAAGACATAAAGTTACTAATTTATCGAGTTAAGTTACTATTTTTTATGTGAAACTTACAAACCAAAATTTTAGGTATTATCTTATTTAGGTGACGAGTTCAACAGATAATCAAATGGTCTCTAAAAATGTCTTTACCTATTATACCAGGTAAAAACAATTTCGTTACCATAACGATAGGTACTTCAAACTTTTCCTATGTGAGTTTCTATATTACTAGGGATAATCCGCTACTCACCCATATTAAGGAGGCAAAGTTGTAATTAAGCCTTTGTAGTATAAGATAATGTTGTTTGGAATCTTACTGTCTTTAGAAACACTCTTTAAAACGTTTTTCAAATAAATATCATGATTTCTTTTATGAGATCTGCACCAGGCAGAAACATTCTTTATGTTTAGTGCTCTTTTTCTGGTAACCATTTCTCCAATTAAGAAATCTTTTGGGAGAATAGGGTTCGGTGATAAGGTAGAAAGGATTATAGGATTATAAGTAGGAGATCTTGGTTCAAAAATTTTTACTTTAAAAAAAATGAAAAAAAAAACAATTAAGAAATCCTCATAGATAAGGTAAACTGGCACTTGCACGCACATTATATAATCCCATGAAACTAAACAAACTAATTCGTGCCTAAGTTATCAATTGGCAGTACTTGTCCGATTAGCTTTTTCTTATCTTTTTCTCGCTGATCTAAAATAGTACACTTGCTTCCATTCTCATCTGCAGTAGCCAACCGTGTTAATGGAACAATCAGGCATTCTTTGGCTTCTTTTCCCTCTACTTTTTTCCCTCTATCTCTGTCTGCACAAGCTTACACTGACATACAAGTCCTGCAGATTCAGACCCTTTGGTTCTGAGAAGCCAAGGCTTCCCCCTGGGAGAACGGGGTTGCCTCTACTAGGTGAAAGTTTGGATTATTTATTTAAAGTAAAACAAGCAATCCCTCGTATGTTTGTCGAGGAGAGGATGAACAAGTATTCCTCTAAAATTTTCCCGACATCATGGATTGTTGAGCCGATGGCAATTCTCTTGGTGCTGAGGGGAACAAATTTCTCTTCACTAACGAGGGAAAGTTGGTCCAACGTTGGTTTCCGAGTGCCACGGATAAATTCTTTCCCAAGTCTGATGGCAAAGGGAACAATGAGCACTTAAAAACAGTACGTAAATTATATTCAGTGATTCGCAAGGGGGATGGGCTTCGAGAAAACGTTGAATTTATGGATGAGGTGATGAAACAGCATGTGCAAAGTGATCGGGAAAACAAAGTACAAGTCACGGCTGATGATATGGCAAATAGATACGTTTTAACTTTGGCATGTAAAATATTCTTAGGCATCAATGATCCAGGGAAAATTGATGAACTTGCAGAGGGAATGAAGGAAATAGTGAATCGTCTTCATTCGATGCCCATAAATTTTCCGGGAACAGCTGCTAGTCGTGGTATCAAGGCATCCAAGCTCATGCATAGAGCGGTTAAGGCAATGGTTAGACAGAAAAATCGATCTTTCTGAAGAGACGTATCTATCTTCAAAAAAGGACTTCATGTCACGCATGCTCCTTGCAACAGATGATAATGGTCATTTCTTCAGTGAAACAGACATAGCTAGCCATTTAGTTGGTTTAGTGCAGGGTAGCTATTCAACTCTGCAACTCACAATTACCATGATCATGAAATATCTTGCTGAGCTTCCTCGTGTATATGATCTTGTCCGAAGAGGAAAGCTCAATTAGCTATGTTGCCTAAATAAGTAAACTTTGTCTTGTTGCATAGCTTATTTTGAAGATTAGGGGATGATAAGTTTCAAAGATACTGTGAAGCTCCGTCTATCTATGAACAGTGGATGGATGGAGCTCTTGGCATTGCTTTGTTTTTCTCTCCTTTCTTAGGCCAATAACCCCTGAATTAATCAGCGCATAATTTGTATAGTTTCATTTTCTAGCTTGATATATATCAAAGTGATTGATAGTCCTTGGTTCCAAATTGGTATGTGTTCTTGGTCTAATCTTTCTCTTCTTCATTTGTGAAGAGCAAAAAGAAATTGCAGATTCAAAGGAGGCAAAAGATAAACGTAGTTGGGAGGATCTGAGGAAGACGAAGTATTCATGGAAAATTGTGCGTGAAGCGCTAAAACTAATGCCACCAGGAATTGGAAGTTTCAGAGAGGTTTTAACTGATTTCACCTATGAAGGATACACAATTCCAAAAGGCTGGAAGGTAAATTCTTGTGACTGCAGAATTTGAGATTAGTCCTGCATCATTCACAAATACTACTAGTCCATTGCAGTAATTGATTATATTGTGCTTCACCCTGTATATCCACTGGATTGCGCATGCCACGCATATGAATGCAGAATATTTTCCTGATCCTGAAAATTTTGATCTATGATTTGACGGAGATGATCCAGTTCCTTGTACATTTGTTCCATTCCGGGGAGGACCTCGAATGTGCCTTGGGAATACTTATATTCAAGCATAATATTGTGAACAAATTCAGATGGGAAAAGCTGATTCCTAATGAGAAAGTTGCCTATAATTTAGTTCCCAAGCTAGCTCAGGGACTTCCAATTCGGGTCCATCCTCACAAGCCATGAACAATTTAAGAAGCTAGAAGATCTTTATAGAAGAGTGAAAGTATTAAAAGGATCCATACTCAAGCTTGCTGGATCAGGATCCAGAGCCTCTCCAGTTGAACTGTTGTCCGACTCCGTCTAGTTACGTAATTTGGAATAAAATGATATAATATTGGTGTAAACGTGAATTTTGTCAACTCATAAGTTGTAAGAATTCTGTCAACTGGACAAAATCAACTGGAAAAGCCCCTGAACTGCATGCTAGATTGCAAGTTCTAGACCGCGGAATTTGACTTATTTGAAAATATTGTTTGTCAAAAGGCCTTTATTTTGCCTCTTATGAGCATTCGAAAAGGCCCAAAATTCAAGTACCAAGGGCCAAATCGCTGTTTTCTTCCCTAGGCTCTATCTTTTGAGAAGGAATAAAGAAATGGAAAAGTTTTGCAGGAGGTGACGAGGACACAAACTTAATACTAAGATGCATCTTAATTTTGGTTGCTGGTAGTATATAGCTCATTCCTTGTATGCGAAAGTAAAGCTAAGACTCGAACCAGGTATCGACTCAGTCGAACTCAAGGGTTAGGTATCAATGGGTTCGCTCGGAATTGAACAAGATGATGTTATAGATAAAAATTATTTAAAAAATAAAATATTGTATGTAAAATACCTAAGAGCATGTTAATATTAATAAAAGTATATTCATGATGTTTCAAATATATTTAACAAGAAAATATAAATAAATTAGAATAATCAAGTAGCAATTTATATTATTCAATGAACATTGACAAGTTTAGAATTAAAATTATGAACTAGATTGAAAAATAACACCAAACTTTAAAACAACATTTATAAAGTATGAAATATTTGAGATATATTAATAATTTTTAATAATCTAGGGGTTAAAACATAATATTGAAAATATTTTGACCTTTCCAAAAAAAACTTTGACACCAAACCGGTTCTTCGGGCTTTTCGGTCAAACCCGGTTTTGAGCTAGTTTGACCAAGTTTCCATCTATTCGATCTTTTAGATAACTCGGACCGAAAACTTGGTTGATTCCCGATTTGACCGGTCGGACCTGCTACTCTGATTCAAGTTTAAAAACATAGAAGTAAAGAGGTGATCTTGCAGTAATCAATTGCATTTCTAAAACTTTTAATCAACATGAAGTTTAACTCTTCATTTATATGAACACTCTAAAATCTTAACATGAGGATATGGGGATGAAGATCATTACTGTATATGCTGCATATGATTAGAGGCTATTTTGCTTTTGAGGTTCAGCAAAACTAGTAGGACCGTTTTGAAATTTTGTTGGGGTGTCCAAAATTAAATTTTTTCCTACATCTGTAGGGGCCAAAATCCAATTGGCAAGAGAACTATACAACTTTAGATGATATCAGCAATTTAGTGTCTGATTCTGTTGACGAATGTGATCTCAAAAGTTTGCAATAGACCACACTGCAATACGTTTTCATTTGACAATTGAACACTCTGATTTTGTTTGTGCACATTTAATGCCTCGTAGTAGTCAAAAAAGGCTGGCAATAATTGAGCAAATCCAAAAACTTCATAGTTTTCTGGATGGGCAAATTCCTCTAGGAAGCAGAATCCATTGAACATTTTGCCAGAAAAATGAGCACCTCAACAACTTGCATACATTTCAAAGACAAACAAGAAGCTGGGGTACCCGTGGCGGCAGTTTCAAGAAGGAAAATAACTTTCCTACGCTGCAAAGAGATAATATTCAATTCGACAATACATTCTCAAATGCCATCAGAATTATCACGTCCCTCTTCATTTGCAGAATCCTTTATGCGAACAGCAGCTTTGGCAACCTGCAAGCCAATAACAAATTTTGAGTGGTGCAATCTGCATGGTTATCTATTGAATATTCACATAATCAACTCGAACAATTAAGGGATTACCTCAGAGTTCCAGTTTGTTCTCGCGGTTAGTATAAATAGTGCCAATGATTGCAGGAAAACTCCTATAATCATTCCCCACCATATCCCCTGAATTTGTTACCACCAAAGCCTGTTATTCAGTACATACATTTGTACAGATAGATGCCAGTAGTACAATGCAAATGTAGATCAGGACTTACAGCCACTCCCAAAGAGGTTTTGAAGCCAAGAACGCAGCCAATTGGGAGGCCAATGATGTAGTAAGTAGCCAAATTGACATAGGCCACAACAGCTTGCCATCCACTCCCAATTGCCACTCCTGAAAATCAACATGTTTCAAGTGAATTTCACATCTCAGAGCCTGTTTTGCTTTATAAAGTTTCTTACCAGAAAGTATAGGTTGAATGCCATTTGTGAAAACAGAGATAGCCAGCAATGGTGTCAAATTTGAGACAGCCTGAATGACTTCAGAGTCACTTGTGAAGAGCTCACTTAATCCAACCCGAAATATCAGCACAATTGCCGCAAAAACTATACTTATCAGAATGCTAGTTGTGGTTACCACGACGACTGAGAATTTTGCAACCATTGGATGACCTGCTCCAAGTTCATTACTTACTCGAACACTGCAACAAGGCAAGGAGAATGAACAATTAAAGTTGCTACAAGTCTGTCCAGTTTGATCCAGCAGAAAATCAATTTCATGCTTCTATAGTCATACCTGGCAGCAGCAGCTAGCCCCAACATAAATTGCATATCCCAATTCAAATAGTTCATGCTGCAATTTTAGTCAAAATTTTAGCTTGTGAATAACTAAACTGTGGAATAGAAGTAGAGCAAATGTCTTTACCAAATTGAAATGGAGTCCAGCGCGATTGTAGGATTGGAAAGGAGACCTGATATGAGAACAAGACCTTGGAAGTACCATATCTCCAAGCTACAGCATCAGTGAGTATAAGGAATCAATCTTTAGAGAGCAGCATTTAATGTAAGTATGACTGAAGCGCACTGAACATACCATAACATGACAGCAGATGCCGCGGTTAACTTGAAATAAGGCCAGATGCCTTTAAAAGCCCTTATCGACAAACCTGTCCAAGACTCTCTGCAGGATGGACTGAAAAGAATGTAAAGTCCTTGCAAAATTACCAGCAACCACCATGACAAACTAAGTGTCAGAGCAGCTCCCAGGATCCCATAATTAAGGACATAAACGGCCAGCCAAGTCAGCAAAATGTGCAGGAGGAACACGCCAACAGCGATATAGGCTAGAGGGTTCACAATGTTCTGAGCCTGGAGAAACCTTTGCTGGGGACAACTAATTGCAAACGCATAAAGTTGAGGGATCAGTCCTCTTGCAAAAATTTGGCCTTGTTCAGCTATGCTAGCTGATTGACCAATTGATTTGAGGAATGAGCCGGAGTATAGATATAGGAATGTGAGGATAACAGCTGCTCCAACATGCAAGACAATGGCCCTCTGGCAAATGATCCCCATTGCTCCATATTGTCTTGCTCCATAAGCTTGACCACAAACTGTTTGAACTGCACTTGCCATGCCCAACTATAGCATAAGAAATTAGTCGAGTCAGTAACCGAATTATCACCAAAAAGACTGCTATTTGAACTAATTATACTCCACATGATTGCTTTTATATGTGTAAGCGCTTGAAATATGTGCAGGTGAATGATAATTGAGAAGGAAATTAGCAACATGTTTACACTAGAAGAGGCACATTGGTCCAATTTTTTTAGTCAATGAATTCAAAATGATTTTCAGCTGAGTGAATCCCTGCTCTTTTTTCTTTTTTCCTTTACCTCAGTAAGTTCCTTTTCCTTGTTATCAAGGAAATTGGTAGTCAACCATCTAATAAGTAAACTAAGTTATAATATATGTACAGAAACCAAGCATGCATGATTTGCAGAAAAGAAGGCAAAATATTTGATTCTCCGTTGTTTATCTTTCCTTTTTCTGGGGATAACAAAAGATGGAAAATAATTTTCTTCTTCATACATTACCTCGTGTATTTAGAGGAAAGCAAGAGTCTACACAACATGTGCAGTAGAAATATAGAACTAAAGAGTCAATAGATCTATAACAGCTGGAATTCATAAGGATATAACCTACCATGATTCCATAAGCAAGCCCTTGAATTCCTACACAAGCAATGGATGCCCCGGCCAGCTCGAGTGCACCCAAGTGGCCTGTGAACGCGAGTGTCACAAAACTAAGCATGTAATTGAAAACATAAACTATAATCGAAGCTCCAGAAAGCAGCCAAAGTAGCCTTGATTCCCAGGCAAATAGCTTAGGATACCACCGGATAGGAATCGGCCTATGCTCCAAGAACTCTTCAATAACACTGGACGTCAAATCCGGAATCTGAGAATGAGAATCAAGTCCAAGAAGCAGAGGCTGGTATTCTGTAGCTGAGCCCATGTTATGACTTATGACTCAGCTTCCTGCTTCAAACCAAACTCTGAAGTGAACCAAGTTCTTTAGCATGCCAGTTCGTTGAAGTAGATCAAATTCACAGCGGTTTAATCAAAATTTTATCAGGTTTCGAAGTTAGTAATTGATGCGTAGAGGATAAACATCCATGCTTTGCTTACTTGCTTGTCTTTAACTACCATTCCAATTTGAAGTTTAGAGATAACTAAGCAATGCATCTATGACAAGTAGATAGAAGAACGACAGACGTTGGAGAAGTTTTAAAGTTAAACTTTCCAACTAACACTCCTTAATTTGGTCAAAGTACCTGGAACTTTGGCTAAAAACTGCTCTTTTGCAGGATCATGCGTTTATTACAGGAAGATTATCATTCAATTATCATTTATTGCCCGCAATTTCTTTTATATCAGGACAATCTATGGCCCCAAAATAGCATTCTTCAAAAGAATGTTATATGTGGAATGTGGTTCCACGCTAAACCACCTGAAACGTTACATATATGCTAGTACTTAGCTATCAGTGCTATAGAATCCAATCATTGACTTTTCAATGATTAGGACACCACGTTGTTGTTGTTGTGAAGGTCCAACAAGAAATAACAACTACCCTTCTTTCAACAAGATCAAGAAAATAGGAAGAAAGAAGACTAGCCGGTTCTGCCAG